TAATGAGCACGTGAAATTTGACGTACTTGTAGACACCCACGCCGTACATCATGCGACTTTTAATTAGCGAAATCGATTTTAGAGTTCCAGAATAAATTTTAAATATAATTAGAAGAATTTTCTGAGAACTTCGAGTCGTATTCTGCTTGAATCAGATAGAAACACAGGGGGAAACTGGTATGATGACTGTAGGCGAGGAAGAGCCCTGTTATCCAGGAGAGAACCATCAGGAAAGTTCATCCAAAGTGGGGAAAAAACCTGAATCACTTGCGATGGACAAACTAATCCGTATCATCATCACCAATATAGAAAGAAACTGGAGTAGATCATGACTGTATTTTTACTGAAATCCTATAGGCTCAAAACTGCATCTTCTCGCTGGATAACTCTGATAGAACTTAAAACTAATATTACAGCTATAATAATGAGCATGTGACGTTTGAATGAAACTAAGAAAAAAAATAAGGAATGACTGCCCTGGGGCGTTAAGCTTAAAAAGATTTTAGAGTGACGCAATTTCAGAAAAGGTCATCAGGGGTAGAGGAGGCAAAGTAGAGAGCATGTTCTTTAGCGAAACTATCATTACTATTTGAAATGTGAAGAAACAGTGAAAATTCCGTTGCAGAGCATTTACTGTAATTAAAAATGTTAGTTTTATAAAGTTTGCCAATTTAGAAAAGAAAAGTAATATTGAATGAGAACTCGAAAAAAACGAAACAGCACCAGAATCAAAGTACAACCTAGAACGGGAACACATTTTGTCAACAGAAATGAACACTTTCAAATTTTAAATAAATCTTTATTACATTATTTTAACTTCAGGACAAATGAATAGTTAAACAACCCGTTACGCAATGAGAATAATGATGTTAAACATCGGTAACCTCATCTGGTTCCTTTTCGAAAACGGGGTTGTCGACTAAAACTGTTTTCTTATCGTCTTTCACAGGCCGTGGTGGGATTTCGGGTTTTGCTACTATCTCAGATTTGGGAGCTGAACATATAGTATTAATTTGAGAAAGAAACTGTCAACGTAACCTATCACATCGTTTCCTGTCCGAGGCTCTGTTCTCAAAATCTCAGCAGAAGTGGACGGAGTGTCAGCGATTGATGATGAAGGGCTAGATTCCAAGTCATACACGGGGTTGGAGAACGTTGTTGAAACTCCACTGGCTGATATTTCTTGCATGCTATATTCTACAGGATTAGGTTCCTATATAAGCAATTATTAATGAAGAAATATCTATAGTAAGCCTTACCTGTTTTCCATCTAAAACGGGATTGCTGAAAGAAATCACATTTCCATGGAATGATACTGTACCATCAGTAGCCTCAGATTTCTTAGAAAGAAGTGCTCGTTTTCTGAAAATAAAAGATGACAACTAAAACGCAAAAATGAAAGTATTACTTGTAGAGCGTCACTCCCATGAAGGAAACTATTCCTATTCCAGCGAAAACCATTAAAATAAGTAGAATGCCCAGTAATAAATTTTCTGAGAGTTGCCCAATTAACTGAAAAATAAAATGAATTCGGGTTTTGAGAGTAAATGTTTGCTAGTTCAGTTGAATCATGGTTTGAGCAACTAATCTACTTGGAGAACGAGGGAGGTCGAGTGGGAGCATAACGGTTGGCTCGCAAAAGAAGCCGTGAGGCCTGCACAGAAAAGTCAACAAGAAAATTTTTTTGAACGTCTCATTTTGAAGAAAATCTTACGAATTCTACAGAAAATATACCGTAAATACTTACTTTACGACTAACTGATGATCCTTTCTGGCATAGTTCGCCCTCAAAGTCAGAAGAACAGTCACAAGAACCATCCAGTCTACAGACACCTCCATTTTGGCACTTGCATTGCTTTGGCATAACCAAAGCATCCACCCGAGGTGATGAACAGGAACCATCCTTAACGATTGATCATTATTCGATAAATTAGAAGAAAGTATAATTGTATTGATCGTTTAGGGGCAGTAAACGTATAGAAAAACAGAGAAAAAAAAAGAAAATTGAGTAAATAGAAAAGTCTTTTGTCTTGAAGCTACGTCACGGCTTGGAATGAGGGATAATGATATGGGTTATACGAGTAGCGCAGTATAACAATCAAGTACGCTCGTTGAAGTGTTTTTTTTTTTCGAAAACTTTCAACTCTCAATTTAAACAAACTTTCTGAAAACTTACGCGTTGTGGGAGAACGTCACCGGGGCATAAACAAGCGAACCCATTATCAGGTAATGAGGCACACATATGCGAACATTTAGCCTCAGCACAAGCACTACGAGCTCTAGTTGCATCTCGAGCATACCTAATAAAATATTTGTATTTGGAATGAATAGTTGAAATGTCACCTTTGACTAACTCGGACCACATGACCATCTTCTATGTCTGAGGCGAGAATTGAAACGCGCCCGCGGCCAAACTTGTCTTGCACATATAAAGTTTTAGTTTCCCGAGATAACCAGTACAGGTGATTCTCGAAGACATCGATTGCGAAAGGTATGTTCTTATCGAGAACAATAGTTTCTCTGCCTTTTCCGTCAGGGTAAATAGCTTCAACTCGACGATATTTTGGATCAGCCCAATAGATACGATTTCCACGTCCTTCATCAATAGCCATACTTGAAGGAGCAAATATCAGATCCTTCACAATAATCTGAGACAAGATAAATGAATGAGATACTTTACGAAAATCAAACCTCTCTATGAGTACCATCCATATCAGCACATTCTATTTTCGCATGTAAACCTGAGTCAGCATAACAGACTCTTCCAATAGAAGGCAAAGTGACAACTGCCGTAGGCATTTGAAGATGACCTTACAAATATTATAGTAAACATCATACTTTGTCTCTAGCTATACCTCCAATCAGTTTCTTCATGTAGCGACCATCATTTAGAGCTATGTAGATTGATCCAGTATTATATGTATGTCTTGGCTCGCTCATACGTTTCTTTCTACTTGCTGTTTGATGTTCTGCATCAGCAACAGTGGCAATGTACAAGTTTCTAAATAGTTTGCAATTGAAAACTATTCATTTTACTCATGATTACCCTGTTAAGTAGTCTGTAGCCATAGCCAGAGGTGTGACTCCGAGAGACTTGAAATCTAAATCTAATTTCTGTCCTTCATGCGATTGGTTTCCATTAGCATTAGCTGATCTCATGATAACCCTGACGATATGTTTTTAATAATTTTGTTTCAATGATTTTTTTCATACTTCTCATCTCCGTCTATCCAGTACATCAGGTCTCTTCTTTCATCAAAAGCAACTGCAACAATGTCATTGTCCTCAGCTGGAGCCTAGAAAAAAAATTTAGTGACTTCACAAACTACGTGTTATACTTGAGCGGCAGCATGTCTATTGGTTCCTGCACCATGCAGAGTTACTTGGACTAACTGATCATTGGCTGCAACAAGAATATGGGCTGGCTCGCCCTGAAATTCATTCTTTCATTCAGCACAATTTTTTTCTACGCACTTTAGCTCTACAATCTTTACCAGTCATTGCACCTACTACGACATTGTTTTCATAATCATCATGACAACGGCATAAGTATGAGCCCTTGGTGTTAAGGCACATTTGGGTACAAGTGTTATTTCCTTTGCATTCATCAATATCGATACAATCGAATGGATCTTCAGGATTTGGTTGGAATCCGTCCCGACAATGACAGTAATATCCATCAGTGACATCTTAAACCGAAGATTAAATTATTAGTTGAGACTAGAGCATACCAGTGCACAAATGCTTACAACCTCCATTATTACCATCGGTATCACATGTTTTGCCATTCTTCTTGGCTGGAATAGTTCAAAATTAATAAGTTTGAACGAAGGGAACACTAACCGCATCCTATTTCATCAGAAGCATCTCCACAATCGTCATTATGGTCACATGCTAATGTACCATTTACGCATTTGCCGTTGGCACACTTCAATTTTTAGATAAAGAACTAGAAGGGCTATTTTTGACCAAACCTTGAACTGGTCAATAGTACAGTCTCCATACTCCGAGAAACTAGAGCACATCGATAAGTGCTCATCAGAGTAATCATTCGGACCGCAATCGTTGAATCCATTACAAAGCTGAAATTGAAAACATTACAGAGTAGGAAATTTCAAAACTCTACCTGCAAGATGTTCAAACAGAGGCGGGAATGAGCACAACGGAATCGCAAAGGTGGATCGCATTGAGCACTACGGCATTCAGTAGAAGTTTCATCAGAGTTATCTCCACAATCATTGTCTCCATCACACATAAACTTGCGAGGAATACAAACTGAGTTAGCACATTCAAACTCGAATGGAGAGCACGGGCGGCGTGTCTATTTCAGTATGATTTAAAATGTTAAAGATATCATTAACTTACAACTTCAGAGCAGTTAGTCTCGTCTGTCGCATTGGGGCAATCCTTTTTGCGATCACACCATTTGTGTTCTGGGATACAAGTTCCATCATCGCACTGCCTGTGATTGGCAGCGCAAGAACGAGCAAGACATTGAGATTCATCAAGACCATCTGAGCATTGAACAGTTCCATCACATACTTTCGATCCGGGAATGCATTTTCCATCGTTACAACGGAACTCCGATTCCGAACATGGTCTACTGGTGCCCCCACAAGAAGAATGAGTTTCATCAGAGTTATCTCCACAATCATTTTCCGTATCGCACATCCATCTTTGAGGAATACATTTTCCTGAGGTAGCACACCGGAACTCTCCTGAAATATTTGATTGAAAATCATTTATTGAAAAAAAGAAACATACCGACATCGTCGCATGCTGGGCATCTTTCACGATTTTCATCAGAATTGTCTCTACAGTCGTCTTGACCGTTGCAGAACGCCCAGTTGGGTATACAACGATAAGAGGATGAGCATCGGGTCCAACCACGACGGCACTCTATGTTCGCACAATCAGCTGTCTCATCGGATCCGTCTCCACAATCATCATCGTTATCGCATCGCCAGGCTTTAGCAATACACTTGTTGTTATTACAGCGGAACTCTTCAGCAGTACAGTTACGACTTGGATTAACTAGATTGTATAAGTTAAAAAAAGATTTGTCCTTGGAAACTTACGGCACACATCATCACTCTCATCAGAACGATCCCCGCAGTCATCATCACCATCACAAGTGAACCGTTTAGGAATACATTTTCCTGTGGCTTTGCACTTGAACATCCATGGGTCACAGGGCTTATCACAATCAACTTCATCAGATCCGTCCCCACAATCATCGTTTCCGTCGCAAAGTTGGAATGGTCTTGTACAGTTATGATTGTTGCATTGGAACTCTCCTACTGGGCAAACACGAATTCCTAAATTGAAAAAAAATTCTTCAACATTTAATTCGTGTCAGCTTACCGCATAAATCACCGCCAGGTTCATCCGAACCATCACGGCAATCCTTTTCTCCATCGCAATACCACAACTTTGGTATACACTTAGCATCTTCACCACCGCAAGCAAACTGTCTATCTGTACAATGTGGTTCGCATGTCTAAATTACAAAAAAGTTTCAACGCCGGTGAAATTATAATTACTTTGTTGTCAGACAGGAGAACAAACTGATCTGGGCAAGCACATGTATATGAACCTCCTCCTTCCTTGATGAGACAAAGATGAGAACATGGAGAATCTTCGCATGGGTTCTTATAATCTGGTTGTCTTAGTGGGTGGATTATCTGAAATTCACACCTGATATATATAATAAAACTTGATACTCACTCTAAGCTCATTTGGTAACTGGATAGTCTTTTTCAAAACCGTTTCATTCTTTCCTGTCCATTTGTCACAACGTACTACTTCACGCAAATTCCAATCAGACCAATAGAGATAATCGTCAAAGATGGCCATACTTGACACATGACTAGTTCTTAGAGCTGGAATATGGCGTCTTCCAGCTCCATCAAAGTCCATGAATCCAATCTCATTCAAATGAGCATCACCCCAGAATAGCCTGAACCATATGTTTTATTGATTTACGAAAAATAATGAATCTACCTATCTGAGTAGTAATCGATTGTCAAAGCATTAGGCCAGCCAAGATCATTTTCGGCTAACTTAACGATTGGGTCGGCTAACTCAGGAGAACCATCCAATGCGATACGACCAATGTAAGGTTGTAAACTCCACTCTGTGAAGAAAAGATATCCTTTTCCAGGATGTACTACTATGGCTTTAGGTTGTGCGATTCTGTCGCGAATAATCGTTTTGCAGTGTGTTCCGTCGGTATGACAAACACGAATAGATCGTTCCTGCTTATTCAACAAATATAGTTTTTCTGCGACCCAATCGACAGCGAAACCTAGAGATGAACATCAGTTACTACACCGTCCGAATACAAACCTTCAGTTCCAAACACATTATGACGTAAAATAATTTGATAGCTAGAGACAGAATCATCCATATCATCCATAGATACACGATACATGCGAAGCTTAGCTTGATCAATCATATAAGCCTGGAATAGCCTACGGTTTTTCGAACTATCTGAGCAAAGCCGTACCATTTTCCGCTTGATGTCTACATCAATGTTCACAACATTATCGAATCCTTTTCCAGCCAATTCATATCTGTTACCATCCATAGAGATTTTACGAATATAATGCTTATTAGCGAGGAGCATATATGGTTCAGGTTCCTGCTCAGTACGCTTACAACTGTGATCGTCTTTGCCGAGCTGGTAACCAGACACACATCCACATTTGTAAGTGCCTATTTTATCCTCACAAGTTTGTGAGCATCCAGATATTCCTTCTGAACATTCATTAGTAAACACCAAACAGGAAATTAGCTCACCATAACATTCATTTACATTGTGGCAACTCTTTTGATCATCACGGTCAAGAGCAAAACCTTCGAAGCAATCACATTTATAGCCGATTGGTAAGTCAATGCACTTCTGTTCGCACAAAGGTTTATCAGCTAGAGCACATTCATCGATGACTGAAATGAAAAAGAACTAGGAGATTTAAATTGCTCAAATTCTTACAGCATTGACTGCTTTCATCACTGCGATCTGGGCAATCATAATTACGATCACAAACTTTCTTATCATCGATACATTCTCCGCTCAAGCACTGGTATTGCCCTTTAGGACATAAAGGATGACCAGTTCCCATTTCCTGAGGTGAAACGATATATAAAACTGATTTAAGTTATAATAACTAACAGATTGTGTTTGAGTACATTCCTTCTCATCTGAACCGTCATCGCAATCATCATTACCATCACATCTCCAAGAATTGGGGATGCATTTGTGGTTAGCACACTGCCAAAACTCTGGTTGACAAGTGGAGTAAGCTGAAATTATTCCAAATATAATTTTAGAATACGTATGGTCACATTAAAGGCAGGAAAGAACTTACTGCAATTGCCATGTTCATCAGATCCATCCAAGCAATCATTATCGCCATCGCATTCCCATGAGGAATGAATACAATGCTGATTCTGACATCTGAATTCTCCTTTGTTGCATTCCTTAACAAAAAATAATTTGATTGGAACAGAAATATCACTCACTTTTTTCTCTGTCTTACAAAGTTCAGAAGACTCGTCTTCGCCTCCAGCGCAAGTCACATCACCATCACACAACCATGTTTTCGGAATACATTCGTATTTCGGTTGAGCCAACCGAGCATTGGACACACAATGGAACTCTTGATCAGTGCAAGTTCTATTACCTGAAAAAAAACATTAAACGGAAGAAAAAAAACGCTTACCGCAGCTATGTCGAGTGCTTTCATCAGAACCATCACCGCAATCATCTTCTCCGTCACAAATAAATGCTTTGGAAATACATTTATCATTGTCGCACTGAATTATGGAAATAAAACAGTGCAAATTACCAGAAAAACTCACTTGGAATATGTAATCTCCTAGACAAACTTTCTTGCCTTCGGCATTGGTGCAGTTCGAATGAGTCTCATCCCAACCATCAGCGCAATCATTGTCACCATCACATTGCCAAGCTTCAGGGATACAACGTCCTGAAGGACAACGCACACTGAAATATAATTCTTAGTCACTGAGACGGAGCATCAAAATTACTAATTTGCAGCACAAGGCTGGTTCATGCAGAACAACTTGTTCTCATCAGCCTTATCTCCACAGTCATCATAACCATCGCAAAGATCAGCAGGTTGAATACAAATATTCGTATTCAAGCATCTAAACAAACATTGCCAATTTTCTCAACCTATCAAAATTGATACCTTATTTTAACTCCGCGACAATCAATTGGTAAACCGGGACAAGTTTCTTTCGATTCATCCGAAACATTGGCATCATGACAATCGTTGTGTCCATCACACACCTAAAATTAAATTCTCTAGTTATTTCTTAGCAAGCGAAATAACCTTGGTCTGGTTAATACAATGTCCGTTTCCACAAGCAAATAGTCCATCAGCGCAAGTAACAGCAGTAGAACAATCCAACTCGTCAGAAGCGTCACCACAATCATCAATGTGGTTACATTTTTTCACTTCATCGATGCATCGTCGGTTACTGCACAAGAAGTAATTTTCAGGACATGATCTGGTATCTAAAACAAGCGTTCTTAATACAGAAACGGATTTCGCAAAGTAGAAAATTAGAAATGGAAACTAACTGCAATAAGTAGGATGTTCATCGGAGCCATCATCGCAATCTGGACGTCCATTACAAGTAGCACCTAGCGCTATACATTTTCCGTCTCCACATTGGAAATTATAAGGAGGTAAGCAAGTTGAAACTGTATCAGCTCGAAGCACACATTGAGAAGAAAAGTCTTGTCCAGGTTGTTGAACGAGCACATAAGTATCATTACAGCTGCATTCAACTTTGCTAGCCGACAATCCAATTTCAGACGAGATAACGTTGCAAATCTAGAAATAACTATGAATGCCGCGCACTGGATAAAAAACACACCTGCTCACAACCACCATTGTCATTTTTGCATAAACTGCTGGTAATAGTTGAACAAGCTTGATTTCTGGTATGAACATCTGATTCGCTCGCGAACACTCTAACAGTTCCTGGTATTCTTCTTCCTCCAACGACTTGCTCTATAGCTCCACCGATTTCCTGCAAATCGATTTTTTGATTTGCTATTTTAACTCTAATCTTACCTTATTGACTCGGAAGACTCCATTTGACAAGGGATCACTCAAATATATCCAAGAGTTCCAAATATCCAGTGATTTAGCTCTGTAGCCTACTCCAATTACTTGTCGGTTGTTACCATCATAATCACAGCTCTCAATCTGTAACCGGTTCACGTCTGCCCAATATAAGCGCGAGGTTCTGTAAAATAAAGTATTAGCGATATTTCTAGCAGTATTGTACTCACCTGAAGTCAACAGTAATCGCAGCGGGTAAGCTTACACCTTCTCGTACAATAACTTCTCTGTTTCCACCAGCTGTATTTGATCTCTCGATTCTCGGTTCATAAAGTCCTAGAGAAATATGGTGTTAATCTCTATTTAGAACAAAAATTACCTCCAGTAGGTTTATATCCACTGTCACTCCAGAACACCAATCCTGCACAAGCATCTACAGCTAAAGCATAAGTCCAATCACCAGTGGCAATCTTAAGATTGATAATAGCAAGATTTTTTCTGTATCAGCTTACAGTAGATAAATGATCTCCTTCAAGATCAATAGTCATAACTTTACCACCACGTCCAGTAGTGAAGAAAATCTTCTGAGTTACCCAATCAAGTTTCATGTCAGAGATATGGCGGATTTCAGAAGCATGCTTTTGTTTCGAAGGGCCAAATATCAATCGAGGATTTTCAGCGTTGTTCATGCTGAACCAACTAATGTTAACGCCAGAGGGTGATTCCGAAACGTAGAAAATTCTGCGTAAAGCAACGTCTACGTCGAAAGCAGCTAAGTTCTCAATAGCTGGGAATGCTTCCTAAAAGAATGTTTTTTTAAAAAGGAAAACTCAGTCGACTTACTTTGAGAGGTCTACTAGCTTTTATATCGGGTTCAATCGAAGCATCTACGATTCGGTCACCATCGCTGAACATCAAATAAGTGTCTGGTTCTTCACATTGTTTATTTTTCAGAACACCTTGAAAAACATTTTAGTTATAGTAAGGTAAGACAATATATAATTTACCTCTAGCACAAGCACAGGTGGGGCTTTGAGTTCCTGGTGTGGTAAAGCATAATTGCTGACATGGGCTTTTTCTTAGGTTATCCGTAATTTGACAAGGAGAGGTATTTCTGGGTTGATTTTGAGACGAGAAAACGATTACATCGCCCAGATCTTTCAAGGAAGTAGCAATGGTCGTTGGTGACATCAGCAACGATGTTTGATTTGGTTTAGAGCTAGCACGGAAAACTTTCTCCAGGCGGTTGTCAGTCCAGAACATTTGTTGTCCTACTAAAGAGATTCCGGCAGCAGAAGCAATGTCAGAACGAACAAGCTCAGGAACACCTCCACTTGATTTCACTCTATAAAAAAATGAAGAAGTGCATGGAGAATTATCTTACCTGTATATTCCATCTAGCTTTGCATCAGTCCAATATATCATACGGCTGTTTACGTCGACGGAAAGAGATGATGGTTCACCCAATCCCTCAGAAACGACTACTTCGCGATGGCTGCCATCGAGATAGGATCTCTGGATAGTTGGCTTCTGCCCTTGATCTGCCCAATATAAGTATCGTCCCACGGGGTCTACAACGATGGAAGACGGTGTTTCCACTTTGGTTGTGAACAAAATTTTTCTGAAATAAATATGTAAATGCGTTGATATATTTAAGAATCTAACCTATGCTCTCCATCCAGCTTACAAACTTCAATATTAGTTCGATCACTATCCTGATTGATGAAATAAATATTGAAATTGACCCAATCAACAGTGATGTCACGGATTGTCATCGAACCAAAAGTATCTCGAATGATTGGTTTGGGAATAGCCTGGCCAATAGTATATCTAAATGGTATACTGATAAAGAAAACATCTTGAAGCTGTTGGTTACGCTGTGATTCCCTTGGTTATTCCAGCAGATTCGGCAACATAGATTGTTCGACTTTCATACTCATAGTCAACAGCTGTGATCGAAATTCCTCCTATTGGTTCCATAGCTAATGCTTTTGGTCCGTTTTCATTGAGGCTGAATTTATTTTATAGTAGGGTAAAAACTTATTTACTTACGAGTGAGCTGTGATTTTGCTCTTGGTGGTAATAAGAACGAAATCATCATCATAAGGTCTACAACCTCGAACACCATCCTAGGTTCAAAATATTATCCAGGGCAACTTTACAATATTCACCTTGACATAACCAGTAGCGCACAGACAAGTATGTTGGCTGAACTGTTGAGCGATACAAATGTGTTCGCAGTTACCGTTGTCAGTTCGGCAAGGATGAGTCAATGAAGCTGTAATTGCTTGGTATACAAAAAAATTTCAAATATTGAAACTCACATGGTCGGGGTTGCAAGACCTTAATGTTGACAAGATTTTCGACATCTTTCTTGAAATGTTCAAATGTGGGAGGTCGCCCATCACCGGTTATGGTAGCAACTTCTATTGAATCGAAAGCAGAATCGGCATAAAACAGTCTATCACTGAAGAAAGCAAGCCCGTTAGGTTGACGGCCTGGGTCATTTAAAACATAATGTCTGTCTTGTCCATCGTATGATACAGAAGATATCTGAAAAGAAAATAATGACAGCATACCAAAAATATACTTACTCTTCCAGCTTTAGCCTCAGAGAAATAAACTCTTGAACCGGTTGGGTCCAAAGCAATATGATCTAGCTCTGTCAAGTCATTGCTTGCAATAACAAGAGGGTTAGTTCCATCCAGGTTAGCACGAGCAACTTTAACATCAGCAGATCCACCTCCTCTGAAAAATCAAACTTATCTCAAACATAGAAATCTGTAATGCGAACCGATCAAGCCAAAACAGTAGTCCTTTATCTGAATCAACAGCAATAGCTACTGGTTGAACAACGGCGGTAGGGCTCTGATCATTCGTAAGGATAGTTGCTCGATATTGCTAAAATTTTTCGAAACAATGAAGAATAATGAGAAAGTTAATCTAACCTTGTCTCCAACAGTTCGGATCACTTCGATGGTCTGTGATACTTTATTACCAACATACAGATTTCTTCCATTCCAGCCGAAAGTCATAGAATACGCATCATCAATCTCTTGAGAAGATAGAATTTGTGTTTTGTTTCCAGCATTTATAGAAGTTTTGTATATAGCAGCGTCAGTAGATATTTGCGTTAAGGAACGGGCGATGTTGGCATGCTCCAGCACATACATCTGAAAATTAAAAAAAGGTCAGAACATGGTCTTAATTCAAACAAATTCATAATAGATGAATGCTGATCGGTATTTTTTAACAATTCGAAACAACAGTACTCACATCTCCAGTATCAGCATCGTAACCAGCATCAAAAGCATTTGTGAATCCAGCCAATGGTACCATTCCAGATAGAGAAGGAGTATTGTTACCCCTGAAGAGTTTGAATAAGACGGGAAAAAATAAATAAAAGTTACTTTTTGGTCATTTCGACTCCGAAAATATTTGTTTTCTGTATGAGTAGAAGGAAAGGTTTTTGATCCTTGATACATTTTGTACGACTGCTGTCAAGTTGCATGCCCATTGGACATTTGCAAGAGAACTTCTGGAAAATTTCGGTTCAAACAAATTCTGAATATAACTTTCATACGTTTTCAGCTCCAATAAGGCAAATGTGAGAACAAGGTTTCATTTGACATGGTGATTCTACATGAGGTTGAAGAACGGGATGGATAGCGGCGACACCCAATGCCTAGATATAATTTTCGTTATTCTGAAATTTTAATATTTCTGCACCAACCTTACTGAACGTGTGGCTAGGATATTCCGTTGTCGTTCCGTTTGGATATTTAGGATATAACTGAACTCGTTGTAAACGACGATCAGAATAATACATCATATCTTCGAAGATGACAAGAGCATGAGGATGCTGTACATACTTAGATGAGCTTATCACCATTGTACGACCAGTTCCATCATAATTTACAAAATCGATGAAATCGAGCTTGGAATCAGCGAAATACACACGATCTGTTGTGTAATCCAAGGCAATAGTATTTGGCCAATAAATCTTGGTATTTACAATAACTCGACGGTCCGAACCATCCATATTGGCTCTTTCAACTCGAGGATTCTGTATGACAAAACGATTTATAGTTTTTATTTTCACCAGTAATTACCTGTCCCCAATCTGTCCAGAACATTAAACCCTTTCTTGGATCGACAGCAATACCACGAGGCTGGCTCACATTTTCATGTACAAGAAGAGCACGGTTATTGGCATCATCGAGTGAAGCAACCTGGAATAAGAGTTTTGAAAGAAGTTCTGCATGTCATCCTACCTCAATTGTATTCAGAGAAGAGTCAACCCAGTATAGATTGCGTCCAACCCAATCAAGAGCTATACCTTCTGTTATATCAAGACCATCAGAGAGGAATGCAGTAACATTAGTTCCATTTCGATTGGCGGAGAATATTTTTTTCTCTCGAATATCTGACCAATATATTCTATCAGTTACACTGTCCCATGTAATAGCAATGGCGTTCTCAACTGAGGCTGCAAATGTACGCCAGTTCTCTAACTTGTGATCACTCCAGTAAATTCTAAAAGATGAATAAATGTAATTTCTCTAGGTTCTCTGGGTGCCCTTACCTGTTTCTGTTGGAAACATAAATGCGCATATCAGCCAAGCTATCCGTTACCTTACAAGTTTTTTTATCGGTCGAAAGGGTATATCCGTCATCACAACTACATAACAATGTTAGGTAAAAAATAAAATCATTAAAACCTGCAGGAGTAACCGTGTTTCTCATCCGTACAACGCTGAGTGCAACTAGTGGGGTCTAAGCATTCATTCTCAGGTTCACATTTGGTTTTGTTCACAAGCTGAACATTCATTTTGAACATAGGATAGACTTATGCCATTGTTAACTTACTTGTTCTCCAAAAGGACAACTACATAAAGGACCGTTAGGACTATTATGGCATTTGTAAACACAACCAGCACGATCAGCCGAACACAAATCTCTTGCACATCTTGAAAATTTGAACTTTTAGCTAGAAAGCTTTACAAACTAACCTTCCGCCTTCATCAGTTCCACCTGGACAATGCTCTTTACCATCACAAAGCTGGTGAATAGGTATGCAAACATCCGGTTCTTTTTCACAAGCCACATGTTCAAATGGACACTTGTGGGTTGGTGTGTTCTTGCAGCCGTTAGCTTCGCTTTCATCGGAACCATCACCACAATCGTTTTCTCCATCACATAGCCAAGACTGAAAGAATATAAAATATATCAGAGAAAAAATGAGTCTTATTACATGCAGAATACAACGACCATTTCCACATCTGAATTGATCGTCTTTGCATTTATGGATAGAGCAACCAAATTGTGGCTCATCTGATCCATCATCACAGTCCTAAGCCTCAGTTGAATGAACTATGGTGAATCAAAAAAACCTGTTGGCCATCACATTTCCAAGTAGAAGGTATGCAGAATCCAGTTGATTTACAAGTAAATTGGTCAGGAGAACAAACTCCTTGTTGGAAGACGCAACTATCTTCGTCAGAACCGTCGTCACAGTCTTGCTGGCCATCGCATTGATTACGAAGAGAGACGCACTGATGTCCATTAGCGCAACTTTAGAATAATAGTTTGAAGCTAGATTTTGGATGAATAAAGTACCGGAATTGATCTGATCTACACTGCACCGCTGGGCATCTTTCTTTGTCTTCATCTGAGCCATCATAACAATCATTGTCTCCATCACAAAGCCAATAAATTGGTATGCATCTTCCGTTGGCGCAAGAAAACTAAAAGCAATCAGAATACATACTTGTGAGAACACTTACTTGATTGGCGGCACAAGTTGTGTTTCCACAAAGCTCTATCTTTTCGTCAGAACCGTCGCCACAATCGTTATCAGAGTCACATTTCCACTGCTCAGGGATGCACCTGAAACTTTTCTCTTACAAAAAATAATCTAACTTTCAAGTAACCTGTGGTTGTCACATTGGAACTTTTTAGCTGAGCATACAGGAGCATGACCGTCCGTACAGTACTTCGCATCTTCATCAGAGTAATCACCACAGTCATTATCGCCATCACATCCATATTGAGCAGGAATGCATTTCTTCGTGTTGTTGCAACGAATAGTATTTTCCGGACATACAGTCTGAAGAATAGGTTGTACCCAACGTTTTTTGTATATAGAGCGCACTTCTTTGAAACATTTGTCACCCTTCTCATCAACCTCATCGGACCCATCTAAACAATCGTCTTCTCCATCACATCGCCACTCTTTAGGTATGCATCGTCCATTTTTACACTAAAAAAACGTATTGAAAACAAATATGTTACTGCTGTGTACCTGCAAATGCGTTTTGTTAGCGCATAATGTCTCAACATTTTCACTGCTATCCTTTATGCAACTATGACCATTTTCGGGGTTGATCTTATAGCCTGGAACATACTTCTTAATATATAAAAGAACTAACTTTCTCACCTTCTCTACATGCACACTGTTTAGCTAAGCTAGGGCCATCTCCGGCAGCGTTTGGAACAGCAAAACAAAGTTGTGGGCAGTCAGAGAACAAGCATGGATGATCTTTCGAGTCATCAGGAATAGGTTGATTTGGTCTTGAACAAGCTGGAAAACGGGTAATAATGAAGACAGTAAAGAAAATATACCCTACCTTTCAAACTGAAGATAGATCGTTCTTCTCCTGAGAAAGATCTGATGACTCGACCAGTACCACCACTCGTTTTATGAACTCGACGGATTGAATAAGGTCTTTGGTGCACATAATATATATGCTCTCCCATGACAGCCATTGCAACCGGTATGGGGTTGTCAACCGGTAATTGTTCAACGTTCTGGCCATCAAATGACATACAGCTGATAGTTTTCAGAAGAGTGTCTCCCCAGCATAGTCTATCAGTTTCGAAGTCGATCACCATTTCTGATGGACGTCCGAGTGTAGTATTTCGAATAACTTGACAGTTTGTACCATCAGTATAACATCTGAATATAAAATTAAAAAGAGAACTAAAAGCTACCAAACCTATTAATAGTAGCTGGTCGTTGTGCCTCGGCATAGAATATATATCCTTTCCATGGGTGAACAACTACTGATACGGGATCACGTAAATCCTTTATCAATTTACGATGAACAAGTTGATCTGGATGAACTAAACCAGTGTCAGCAATTTTGATAACCTATTGAACAAAAATTAATAATGAAAAACTGTATATGATTACTTCTAAGCTGTTTCGGATGTTATCCACATAGTAAAGTTGCTTGCTGATCCAATCGAAGGACATAGATACAAGACCATCATTATGAGTGACAAGAACGGGTGCGGAACCTTCTCCATCTGGACGAACTCTATAAAACGTAGGTAAGAAAACGACTGCTCATAATGGTGTACCTATAAACAGTATTGTCCATGATATCAGCATAGAAGAAACTGCTGCCATGAACGTCACACTCAACTTCGAAGTACATTCCAATTCGACGTTGAGATACAGGAGATACAGGGAGTACAGCTTCAGAAAGGGATCCACTAACCTGAATGTTCAAAAGTTTATCACCCATGTTCACTTTGAAAAGTACCTGCTCAGGGAAGATACCACGAACAATCTTATTACTGGAGAATAAGAGGTAATCTATCGAGTCAATGCATTTGTGGCCTTCAATGAGTTTTTGTCCTATTGGACAAGCGCACTTATAGCCAACTCCAAATCCACCAGCATCTTTAGAAAGAATACACATTCCTTCGCAATCCGAGGTTGCACATGGGTTTTCAATTTTTTGTCCCATACAGTCGCTTTGAGCTGGACCAGGTTGTGTCATTCGGTGGTATGTACTTATTCCCATAGGAAAAACGTTGTTTTCTTTGTTGCTCCTGAAGAGTAGCAATTATGAAATATTCTGCAAACCAACACTTTACCAAATAAGTTCTGTTGGTGATCCGAATTTCTCAATCTTCAGAACACCAAGGCGAGTCCAATCAGTCCAATATAGGTATTGGTCGAACAAGGCTAAGCCGAATGGATGTGGAACTGTATTCATTCCCTGGGCAACAATTCTGCGGTCATTACCCTATTATAAAATGTGAATTAAATTCCAGGAAGGCAGCTCATTACTTGATAATCAATACTTTCGAGTCTATCAACCTTAGGATCAACCCAATATACTCTCTTGGCAGGTATATCGACAACAATACCGGAAACCTGAATTAGAGCCATAAAGCAAAAAAGTTCAAATGTTTTTCTAGTACTTGGTGAGTATGAGTATTTAGAAGCACTCTTCTTTTTGAACCATCCATAGCGGCTCCTTCTAACGCGTACTGATTAGTAAAGAACATTTCTCTGTAACGATTTTAACATTGAGCTGATATTTATAAGCAAACTCAATACCCTCGGAGTGGATCTAAAGCTATATCTAAAGGAAGAGTTAGACCATCAGCTATTAAAACAGTTCGTTTGTCCCCATCATAAGAGGATACATCGATGCGACGTGAACCTGAAACCAAATTAAATTCGATCAGAATTGGAGAGACAAACTAACCAGATTCGATTATGTAAAGTGTGTTGGTAATCCAATCAACTGCTAATGAGCGAGGGTATATTAACGATTTCAACCCAAGTTTTTTAATATGTGAAATTTCTCCATCTTCATCAACATCAGCACTGAAAGCTGAGTGTGCAAGACGATCAGTCCAGAAAATCTGAAAAAAATAAGAAATAGTTTCAATACCCATTTTTTCTATACCTTCTTATCTCCGTAATCATAATCGATACCATAAATGAATTCTCCAGAAGCAATTTTCTTAGGCGTAGCATTTGGTCCATTGGGATCCAAACGATACAAACCTTCTCTTCGAGCAACGAAAAGCTTCATTTTTTCTGCCTCATTAGAGATACAATAGCCTCTCATTGTCAGATTATCTTTCCCTGGACCATGTGTCATCTGAATACGAGTTAGTTCAATTCATCTTTTCACCAGATAAATACCTGTAAACTGAAACAGTCACTTATACATGAGCATGTGAATCCAGGTCGATGGTTCGCACAGTTCTGATCACAATATCCGAATTCTGAGCACTCGTTTACATCTGAAACCCAACCGCTTATTATCGTTCATGAATAAAAATAAGTTGTGAATGCACGTGAGTTCTTTTTTTTGACGTGAACTAAATATGGTTAACTAAATGAACATGGTTTGAGATACTATATACGTGACTATATTGTGAAATAGAAATAATAACCTGTGCAAGTACGCTGGAAACGATCATCAAGCTTATATCCTTCTGGGCAAGTACATTTTCCTCCATGTGGAGATGGATGACATCCGGCTTGACAACCAAGAGATGGACACAAATTGGATGCTTAACGATACTATGAGAAAAAAGTAAAAAAATAAAGAGCATACTGCAATTCATTTCATCAGCTCCATCAGCACAATCGTGAACTCCATCACAGAGATTAACTTCATTAATACAATGACCAGTTCCTGGACAGTGCCATTTGTTAGGTGGACAGCGATATTCTCCACAATCCTCCTCATCCGAATTATCACCTAGACGAAGAGTATATTAAAAAGACTCACAAAACAAGGAAAAATACCGCAATCATCATAAAAATCACAACGGAACTTTCTTGGTTGGCAACGTTTGTTTTTACATTGGAATTCACTTGGTCCACATTGCTTGAACTCTGTGAACAGGCTACTATATCAGATGATTTTTATTCACTTACCACATGTGTCAGGTTCATCTGACCCATCAGCACAATCTTTGGAACCATCGCAGACCCAAGATTTTTGGATACATTGAGTTTTATCGGCACAACGGAACTGGTAGTCAAAGCAAGCGGTATGGTTACGAGAGCATGAGTCCTGGAAATTGTAGTTTCATTCAACGCATTTGATTGGTTACTCACTTTTTCATCACTGAGATCTCGGCAATCATACTTTCCGTCGCATTTCTTGCTCATGTCGAAACATTGCCTGCCATCTGCGCACATGAAAACCGATCCATCGTTTCTATTGCAATCAACGGTGCTCGCAGCTTAAATGAGAAAATTATAAAAAAAGAGTGAATACTAGCTTACGGCAATCTGTTTCGTCGGATCCATCAGCGCAATCTGTGATGTTATCACAACGTTGATACTCAGCTATGCAAGATACACCATGCCAAGTGTACTTATCACATTGCCATTGGTCAGGTTTACATCCAGGATGTGCTTCAATGAAAAAGTAAGTAGAAACGATTACAATTAAAGAACTTACGACAATCTTTTTCGTCCTCACCGTTTGGACAATCTCCTGAACCATCACATCTGAACAGATGGATGAGAGTACATTCTCGAAGTAAAAGTTACCTCCATTCTTGGCGAATACACTTTCCATCTCCGCAACGGAAATCAGTTTCAGCACAGATTGTAGAGCCGGCTGTTGCTGAAGCAGAAAGTGGTTGAGGTCTAATTCGAGGAAGAGCTGGTGGAGAATCAACTGTAATGGATTAACTAAATCCCCTGTTCATTTTTTTTAGGGAAGGTCGACTTTATGACTTAAAGCTCATTTACGACTAGTGTATTTCCCTGTTTCATAAGTGCTTTCATTTTTCATGCTCTTGTGCGTGATTTTCTCATTTCTCTAATTGACCATGTAAGTAATCTGTTTGGTCAACTTTTAATAGTGATTCTGTTCTCGTTATTCTCCGAATTCCAATATTAATGGTTATGAAAAGATAAATAATGCCTTGTATGGACAAAAGCACGCGATGACGTGGGATAGAAAATAGAAAGAGGAACAAGAAAAGTACCCAGAAAAGATTAATTTTCTGTAGACAAACTGTCTCTATGGAGTCTCGAACAATGGACAAACATCACGACAACGGCCTCACCTCTCATACGTGTGCTTCTCGTACAATTTTATCCGTTTGAGCAATAAGTGAAGGAAATATGAGAGAACATAGATGAAGGCAAAACAAAGAGTTCCGAACCTTAAGTGGCAATACAACTCCTCTTGAAAACCCAGATTGTTCAAGGTAAAATCACTATTTATCACATTAACATCCCATTCCATTCGCACTTCATTCGAAATTCGAACAAAGGTTGTTTTCTCTATTGAGTTTTCGAACGAAAGAAAGCTTCTAAGCTTCTGAACATGAACCATCACAGAGACTAATTGTAGATGGTTGTAATACCAAAACAAACAAAAACAATAAAATCCTGTTCGCTAGGGCTAGATCACGTTATCCTCATGGTGGTCAAAAATGAGAAAAAGCTTTGTTTGTGTGAAAAGATAATGATTAATCACATGATATGAACCATTTCATGATATTTAGCGATGCTTAACAATAAGAAGTCCTGTTCATTTTCAATCGAAAAAAATCCCATCCAGATTTACGTGTAGATTTTTCTCTACGAGCTTATGATTCATTTATTTAATTAGTGATTATTAATAGAATTGTGAAACAGAGAAGGAGCGATAAGCTTATGAGAAACCAAAACATCAAAAGTTCATGGGTTCGCTAACTTCTGATTCATCTTTCGTTTTATTCTCGCCAGAAAAGTTTTACGAACAAGAGCCCGCTGCTAAACTTTCTCCTTTTCAGATTTTCCAGTCTTTCTTACAAATGAATAGATTTCGAAAACAAATGAAAACTGAAGTCATTGTAAGAGAAAGCCAGCCGAGAATAGATTGTGTTCAATCCAACTCTTGGGTTATAAAGGATTTGTTCTCCTGTTCAAAATTAAATGATCAGTTTTATTCTAAACAAAATGAGTTGTTGCCAATATTGACAGTCAATTTGACGGTAAATAGACTGACCACATTCGAACTTTCCCCCCGTGCCCTATCTCTCTACTCTCCTCTCTCTACTTCCTCTACAGATTCGACAACTCTTTTATCTTTCCTTCTCTATTTCTCTACTATTCATCTTTTTCGTTCTTTCGGAGTTTTGATAAGAAAGACTTAAGACACAAAGGGGAAAAGGAGCATTGATTGCGATTAACTTGAGAGACTTGGACTACATTAGTTCCTCTTCCTAGGTAATTCCCACGATCTGCCCTCCCCCTCCCCCATTGTAGTTTTTTTGAACAATTATTTTGGTGATATAAACGTTCAAAGATTGAAAATAGCTCCTCACATTTCAATCGATATAAGAAGTTCATATAAGGTATGGATAGGAGAGCTAACTTGAAAAGATAGATAAAGAGAGCAGATAAAAGGATGTAAAAATAATGATTGGTATATATGATAGCCTTGACCGTACGATCTGAATGCTGGTCAATATCTTTCCGGCTTTATGAAAAAAACGTTGCAAACTTTGGTAAAGCAATTGAAACGAGATGGAGAAGTAATAAAAAAATGAAGAAAAACAGTTACCTTGTATATGTCGGGCGTCTGACACGGGATGAACACATAACGGTAGTAATAATAGAATAAATAATATATTAGTTTCTATGAGAGACATAGTGGCTGCTAAGCATTTGAGAGTGTTTGAGGTGATAAATCTTTGTAATAATTTATATTTGGAATAGTATGGTTGAATCAATGTATGATTCGTTGAGCTTTTCAGATGGCACGTGTTCTATATATACCCGTGTGCCTAAAATTAAAAAAAAATTAGAAAAAGAATGACGATAACAGACAATTTACTAAGGAAATGAATAACAAGTGACGATCATTACTTCAAGAGGTTTAAGAGACAAAAAAAACTTCGCCAAGAGCAATATGGAAACGGGAGAAGTACAAGAGATGCTGTTTAATTTTCGAGGAACAAGCCTTGAGAGATTGTTCGAGATGAAGATAAAAAGAGAAATTGAGAAAAGGAAAATGTTCGATTGGCTTAAGATGAGGAAGTATCGGCAAACTATCTATGAAAATCGATAATTACTTTGTGAATAAGACAAATCTAGATGACCATATATGGGACGCCTGTGTGAAGTACGGGAAGGACAGATAGATCAGACAGATTGGTTCACGAACTTTCTTGATTTTCGTTAATGGCAAAGAGTGAAAAAAAAGCGATTTGAGAAGCTTATCGAAGTCAAAGAATAGAATTGTGAAGAAAATGATGGTTGGAGGTTGAGAAGGTTGAAGATGATGGTCATCGTATGGAATAGGGGGGATAGATTACAGAGAGAGAGACGGGATATGCATATGTATGTTCGATTGTAACTGGTTTGTTACGAATTGTGTGAAAAACTATAGAAAAAAGAAACCATTTTTTTTAGCCTGTAGAAGGAGCTTAACGAAAGATAAAAGAAGGATGTCGTTGAAGAGATGTATGTATATGATGTATGTAAGTGATGAGTTAAGGGACGATGGCCCTATCCACCACCAGATTAGATGTTTTATCTTTTATTCTCCAAGGACTATCGCTTTTTCATTTACCTTACCATGAGAGAACAAAAAACAGAACACAAATGTTGCTATTCATTGAAGAAACGTGTTTGTGTGGTAATTTCGAGCAATTTGCGTATGCTGCTAAACCTTTGACACCTTTTAATTATTTTAAATGAAAACTTTACATTTTTTTGTATTTTCGCTGATTTAATTTTACCTTCTGACCATGAACATCGACCGTAACAAGAAATAAAATGATCGAATGAAGGCTTAGTGTATGATCTGAATTGGGTCGACGTCAAACAAGGATGAAACCAAATGATCAAAAGCTTGCTTACTTATTATCGAAAGCTCATCGCATCTTAGATAATTAAGAGAAGCTTCAGCAGTTTTTAAACGAATTTTCTTGCGCAATTTCCTATCTGTTAATTTGTCATCAAATTTACGTTACGTTGCTCATACTCTCTCAGTCTTCTTGTCTCTCAAACTTTCTCTTACTTTTTAAATTTTTTTTTCTCTTTTCGTCTCTTCAAAAATGACCTTGAACCGTTCGGAGGAAGAAAAGGTTGGACGAGGGTCGGGGGGCTACCAGATAGACGAGACTGTTGGATGGAAAAGAAAGTTGATGGTCAGGGCTACAGACTGATAGAGAAGTTGAATAAAACGGTAAAAGGTTAAGAAAAATAATTATTGCTACAGCACGTGAGATTGTTCAGGTAAAGGAAATGAACAAAACACTTGAAGACGACGATGTGTTCTATAAAATTCTTAAATATCAGGTTAGAAATAGAAGAAAGCGGTTAGAAGACATACGAATGGATAAAGATGCGAATAATGCCCTGAGGCGAAGTTCAATGCTGTTCACCGATGCGGATGGTCGTAGTGACGGTGATGAGACGATGATGTTGAACGGACAGTCGGTTAGTCCGTCCGACAGACAACGAACCACGAACCGATGTAGAAAAGACGAAGACGGTAAAAGAGAGAGAAAGGAAAAGATAGATATGTTAGAAGAGAGATGAATGACGCACAAGTAAACATCAAGAGATATTGGTCAGTTAAGAGACTTGATCAAAGAGAAAAGGTTTTCCATAGAGAGAGAAGGAAAGAGAAATTGCTAGCAATTTGCTGTGAGCATCAATCTCTATATTTTGTATTAACTTTTCGTATATTCTCTCAGTCTATCATTAGCTTTTTAACCTATTCTATCTCAAACGGTCAGTCAAATAGTTGCTCATAAAGCACTTATCGACTACTTTTCTCCTTAATTTCCTAGAAGGAACTTGAAAGAAATGGAACAGTTTTGTCCTTTTTTTTTTCTTTTTTTCTCTTCTCCTTCTTAATCATCTTCATTTGTGCTGAAAAGTGATCATCTTAACATCACGATTATACAGCAGACAGCATATAATGACGTCATCTATTTATGTTAATTTAATGTCAAAATCTAAATGATTTTATGATTTTTTCATTTTTTGGATATAACAACGAAATGAACGGTTGTGTAAGGAAAAGAACAAAAACATTGAAAGAATTCTTTCAAACTTTCATCAGCTGATTATCTAAACTTTGATTGGGAAGACAGAATGAGATGATGAGAGAGAAAGAGAGAAAGAGAGAGAGAGAAAGGTTGAGAGGTTGAATAAGAAGATGATGTAGAAAGAGAGAGAGGGAATGAGAGAAAGAGAAAGAAAGAGGCGGATGGTCACGACAACAACGATCAAAAGAAGAGTTGTAACTTGTGAGTATTTTGTAGAAAGACTGGTATTGCCAAAAATCCAGTTTAAGATTTGAGAAGTGCATCTGCTTATCTATTTAAATAATTAATTTTTGTTATAAATGTTAATTTGTACAACAAAAAAAAGGAATATTAAACACCTCTATGACTATCATCTACATCATCAGTGCTATCATCATCCCCCCTATCATCATGGTGATGATGTGTACATACATACATGCATGTATGCTGTGCTCCAGTTATTTAAAGAAGTACATATTAAAACAAACGATTGAAATGAACGTATTCGTATTTGTTTCAGAGGTTTGTATCATATGAATGATGAAATTGTATTTCCAAAAATTAAAAAAAAAAAAAGAAATGAAAAGAAACATTTGGTAGTAAAACAGGTTCACTTTAGCAAAGAGAGGAGCGAAGGTAATGAGAGTTGGCTAACAAGACAAAAACCTCTTCAATCACTTCTAATGATCTTCATTTTATCAATTAAAATGTTAATCTTTTCTATTTTAAGTTTTAGGGATGAAACAAGAAACAAAAGAAATGGGCAAAGAGATAGATACAGAGATCGAAATAATCTTCACCGTATCATAGGGAGGGTTAAGCTCTCGGGAAAGGAAAGGGAGATTTGATGTATTGGACAGAAATAGATGAAAATGGAAACTTAAACGATTCATTTTTCAATCAATCTGACCTTTCGACTATCTGCAAATACATAATGACGCATTCAGAAGTGTCTAAGACGTCTGTAATATACGATAGATGAATTCTGACAGAAGCATGTGGCATGAGGATATACATATGTATATGGATATCGGTGATAGTTAAGGATTTTGTTTATTTCAAGGAATATCTATTGTACAATTGATGGTCCTTTTATTGAAAGAGAAAGGTTCACAAAGTGGGTCGTCTGAAGACCCCGATTCAGATAGTCGTCCGTCCGTGTGTGGAATGTTTTCTTTTTAATTTCTTGAAACAAATATTTATGAAATTAATCACAATCATTAGTTTTTAATGAAAAATCACAAATTGGTTGTGATCACAAGATATGTATGAATCAATTGAAATGAAATAAATTATAATGCTTGAGAGAGTGAGCGAGAGAGAGAGAGAGAGACTTTCCAGAAATGAAGTAATGAAAGTTTAAGATGGTGAGAGAGGAAGAAAGAATTTTATGAAAATATTGAATCACAACCGTTCGATGTCATCTGAATAGTTTGAAATCAGCCACTAGCGATCGATTCCACGTAGATTCACGTGGTAAGATATCCAGATTTACAGAATATGCTAATCTCAATGTGTTATTCCTTCAATACATCCTGTTTGTATTCTTGAAAGTTCAAAAGTATGAAGGTTCATTTCACTTCCGTTTTCTTAATGGTTCAGCTTCTTCCTCATTGAAGATGAAGTTCGTCGAACTTATTGTTGCAATCGCACTCAGCTTATATAGATGTTGGAAGAGTTGTTTCAAATGAATATATCGACATGAAATAGATAAAAAAAACAATTTTTTGACAGCATCTTCATCATCTCAACATTCCGTCTGCCAGTATCAGCAATCAAAGAAGTTCGTACACGTACACTAAGTTCTTAAGGATGACGATATGATTTGAAGGAAGCACGTGTCTCTCTACACCCATTCTATCGCATGATTTCATATATATATATATTTCCAAATAACATTTTCTTAACTTCAAACTTAATTGAAGGGAGAAAGAAGTTTTCAAGTAAAGAAAATAGGTTGAAGTCTACTGAAGATTGTATAAAGTCAAATGGTGAAAGTTGAAAATACGACGACAACAATGAAGGTTGCGGAATCCATCACAACTTGATGTTTCATTTATAATCCTTGGATGGTTGCTTGTTCGCTAGATTCTTTACCATTTGAAGTATTTGAAATAACTTTATTGAGACAACGGTATTGAAAGAACAACATATTGTGAAACAAGATGAATGCAATTCTTGATGAGTAGATGGATATCACTTCGACAGATCATTGTCTTCTGAGTCTACAAGGCATCTGAGATGCATCCTAGCTTAGAACATATAGCATCATTCAACATTTTGTCCAGGAAAACTTCTTCAGATAAACTGTATTTGATTGACTTACCTGATCGTAGGCAGGTTTTGTAGGCAAGTACAAAGCTTGTAAGCATGATTCCATATAATGGAAGTTGTAAACAGATAGAACATCATGAGTAAGATAATAGAAATGAACATATTAGTAATAATTATAATGACTAGTACAGATAGACTAGAAACTGAATGTGAACTATAAAAAAGAAAATATATCACTTTCGTTAAAGCAATGGGGTCAAACAATTGCAATGGCCATAAATGTCTCTTTTCATTTCAAAACTTTTCTATAGCAAAGGCTATTTGTGAAAGAATGC